GAGTGCCAACAAGAAGAGAGTTGACTGTGGCATGGGAATTTCATTGGATGTAGAAACTGGAAGGGTTGTGTACAATGTAAGTTACTTAGACTTAAAGACTATGGTTTGTTTCCTTGTAACTTGTCTTTACATTCCTCCTTGGGTTAATGACATTCAATACCATATATACATTTCTGCTAACTTGCTTGTTTTGTTTTGTTCTCTGGCTATTCGTATAACAGCCTGGAATGCAAGGTGAAGTTGTCATTGAAGAAGGGAATGCTGGAGACGACATAGAGCATGATGTTGATCCTGTCATACGGTTTCTTATCCCGAATGAAAGGGACATGAGAATGTGCAATCTTCAAAGTTTAAATGGTGAAGAGAGGAGAATTTTATTCATTGGTGATGGGGCCACTGTCTCAAGTCCGACTAACCTTCCGTTCAAACCACCGGGTCTGAGATGGGTGGGCCAACCAAGCCTCACTACATCACAACTTGAAGCACAGCGAAGGAAAAAGATAGCTGAGTTGAAGGCAAAGAAACAATGATATCATGTACACCTTTTGTGTACTATTTTGTTTTGAAGGCTAATACTACATGTAAATCAAAATATTTTGTTTCCAATACTTGCATATTTTGTTGCCAAACGTCCTCACCTTTGTAAATGATTATGGCATTATCACAACCTCTTCATTTTGTATTAATATATAAGTCTTTTGCTTAATTTAATGATATGGTTTTTAGTATAGTTCTATGAAGTATGAAGTATGATAGTTATTTAGTTAATAGAGGGCATAGCCAAGTGGATTGTGAATGCTTCTTCAAATTTTGTTTCTACTTAGAAGAACATTGTTTCTACTTAGAACAATGTGGTCTGTGCCTATGAGAATAAAAATAATTTTTAGTATTCTTTTCAGGAATCTTCCAAGTTCCAACCATTACATGACAAAGAGAAAGGTGTATATAATTCCCTATTGTCCCCGTAAATCTTATTTCATCTCTCACTCTGTTTTTTTCATCCATTATATGCAAAACAATTCTCACAATGTAACGTGTGTGTATGCGCAATGGGCAATGACTTATATTACAAGATTTTCCTAAGAATTAAAAGAAGACAGAATAAACTAAAAATGATGACAGAGAAGTTTGTTCCAACCAATCCGAGCCTCCACGTAAAGTATTCACCATGGTTGCATCTTCAAGTCAATCTCTAGCCCAACTAGAAATGCCTCGTCTTCTTAGGATGTTTTTAACATTCTCATACAAATCAAACTCAAAGCCTCGTATTTAAGTGATCAAATCGAACTCAAAATCATCAGTTCACAAAATAATGACATCTCGTTTTGTATCATCTCTTGAATTATCTCTTTAGCAAGAAGAACAAGACTTGTCAAGGACAAGCTTTCCCACATCATTCAGTATTCGAACATAGGACCTTATTCAGCTACCATATAAAGCAATAATAAACCAAACACAATGAAGCATTTGTTCCATTTAAACACTTTAGGACAATATCATGGTTCAGTGCTTGTTCCATCACAGAACACAAATTTACATTCCCATCATAACTACCTTCAAAGGAAAAAATAAATAAAACAAAACCAAGACAACAACAAAGAAAGTTCTAATATTTTCATCTTCTTTCTCCCACTTTCAGCTGTAGCTACAAACTTGGCATGCCTTCTCTCCATCTTGTTCAATTCTTGGTATATCCGGCACATCTCTGCACCAAGCCCATCACCCTCAAGTCTTCTTTTTAGCCTCAAATTCTCATCATACAATGAGTCTATCTGACTTAATAACTCAGAGATCACTTCAGTTGATCTCTGACCCATTTCATTATCATGCCAGCTGAAATAACCGCATCCTCCTCCTTGACAGGTTCAACAAGTCATCTAGCTGAATATACACAGAATCAATTTATTTCGGATAAATCACTACATTCTCAATATGAACTAAACAAATATGATTATTAATAGCACTATAGCAGCAATGATATGACCCCAACAAGCTTCAACGATATGAACTAAACAAATATGAGAACAACATTTCTCTCAAAAAATGGCTAACGGATTCAGCTTAACTTACCTGGTTGTATTTTCGGCACCCATAAAATCTTCTACCAGGGTTCTTCTTGCTCCAAGCCGTCCATCTAGGAGCCAATGCACCACAGTGACAAAACCTTTTCGGCCCTTCATACTCTGTCTCCACTTTAACTTGCCTGACCAAAGAAATCCTTCTCCTGCTTGTCGCCACCGTTGAATCACAATTTGATTCACCCATTGGAGAATGCTTTAAGGACGATGAGGCCACCGACAAAGGAGAATAGAACAGGAATATAAAACCAGGTTCGCCAGCGATAGGGGGTAGAAGGTTTCAATGCTCACCTTTTTCCTCTCCTACTCTGAATTGGTTGAGACATCCAGCTTCGCCAGCGACAGTTGGGTAACAAGTTTAAACTCTAACTTTTTTCCCTTTCTTGTTCTTAATCGGAACCTCCAGGTTCCTCGCCACCGACGAATGGGGTCTTATGTTTCAACGCTCCCTTTTTTCCTCTCTTACTTAGAATCGATCGAACGCTCCAGGTTCGTTCGCTAGCTAGCGAGGTATAATCTTAGCTCACCTCAATCGATTAGCTCAGCCACCGGCGACAAATGGGAGTGAGGATTGAACCCTAACTTCGCTGCGAGGATTGCTCTGGATGGTGTTCTTTCTTTGTTTTTCAAGCTGAAGTGTTAAAACGGGCGGATGATAGCGTTGCTGGAAGGGAAAATAAATAATTTTTCAGACATAATAATAATACACATCAGATGACACATGTCTGCCACATGTCTGCCAGGTAGGATATCTCGGTCAAATTTTTGCTGAGTCAGCAGGCTAACGGTCAAAGATAACATTTCTATTAGCCTGGGATATGGACGCACCGTTTTAATTAGTTTGCGACACTAGATGCACCGAAAATTAGTTTAGGACACTGGACGCACCTGGGAAAATACTTCGGGGTGCTGGGCGCACCTTATCCCTAGTTTAAAAGAATAATTCAAAACAGAGAGGGGAAAAAAAATAATCAATTTATTTCCATTAAGATGCCTCTGGTGCTTTTCCGATTACTTTGAGTTGTAGCTTGAAAGAAGTCAAAGAACCACAGCCGTGAGTTGTGAACTATCAAAAGAAGATAAAATTCATAGTTCATGGAATCGAAGTCATTAGAACAACTAGTTCATCCATGAATCTTTTTGAGAAGTGTGATTGAGACCATTTCTTTTAGGGATTAAGTACACCTATCTAAACTGGATAAAACACAATGATTCATGTGCTCATGTATTACATATGCTTATCAATAATTACTGTGAATTCTTTAAGGAAAAAAAAAAAAACTCAATGACAAGTAAGAAACAACATATTTACCACAGTGAAATTTGTCATTTTATGCCAGTAAACTCTTTGTGATTACTATGGACATAGTCCTGGATAATATCTTAATATAATTCTAGATGATTAAATCACTAATAAAACATAATATTAATTAACTATAACATATATTTTGACGATTTTATTTATTTATTGAAACCTCATAACAATTTTGCCACAAATTTATGGGTATAAAATAAATTCATAGTACAAAACCTAGAATACTATGGTAATTCGGAAAGCAACGGTGCCGCAGCTGGGGACTTATTTATTTATTGTGTTGATGCAGATGCATCTTCTGGGAAATGAGAAGTGAGAACGATGAAAATAAGAAACATTGCGTTCCATGAGTAATACCTAATCAATTTAAGCTTGATGTTCTGATAAATAACTCTAACTTGCATCCTTATTAATAGTTGGGGATGTATATTTACACAGTGCAGATTATAACTAATTTTTTTTTCCCAGAGAATAGATTATAGGTTGACTAAAATCCTAGTTTATCTCATGTAGTACTATTATTTACATGTGAAAGTTAATTAACAGATTTAAAATCAGTAACTTCCTAAACCTTGATGCATCATTTCTATTTGAATTTTTTTTATTGTTTGGATTTAATTTTTTATTTATAAACTAATAGAGTATTACAAGATTTCAATAATAAGATTTAATTAATTAATAATTACAAGATTTCAATAATGAGATTTAATTAATTAATAATTAATTATAAAAACAATTCTTTTATTGGAATTGGAAAAAAAAAATAGAACAGGAACTTTGATCCTATAAAAAAAATACGGTTTTATAAGATTTACAGAATAAAATAGATTGATGCATAAGACTTTTTCTTTCATAATAAATGAACAGATAAAGTACTTAAATACATCAGAAGTATACACGAAGGAGTATTCAATACCTAAATTTTTTTTTATTCTTATATGTTCTGAAAGTTTTATTTCATAGCATGTTTGTCCTAAATCATTGTTTGTGATTAAGTTTAACTGTTAAAGATACGGGTCAAACTATATAATTTAATAGTGAATAATGATTGGGATATTTTTGCTATGAAAATAAACTTTCAAAGCATATAAGAGCTAAAAAAACTTTTAAGTGGTAAGCGCTCTTTCATGAATACCTTTAGGATATTTAATCACCTTATCCCATAAATAAATGCCTGTATTAATCAAAAAAGAGTTTTTTTTGGTAAATAAAAGTTTAGGTAAGTTAAGTCCTGAGGGTTCATTAGGACCGTACATGCCTTCAAGCTTAACAAATGCTTACAAAGGTACTCATAGATCGTTCACTAATAAGATTCTCATATTAATAGTGGAATTTGAACAGATAACCTTATGGCTATGAACCAATTTTTTACCAATTGCTTTAACTATTGTTGGTTATTCTTCCGGTCAAAAAAAAAAAAAACTATTGTTGGTTATTCATTAAAAAAATAGTTAAAAGAACAAAACAAAGCAAGCCGAAATGGGCAAGTTAAGGCCTTTATTTTCTTGGGTGGGCTCAGGGCCCAAAAGAGCCCCCAAGAAAAAAAAACCCCTGTACGACGTCGCTTATCCGTGAAAAGGCAAGACAGCATAGAAAGCAGAGCTCGCGCCCAGGGGAACCTCGGTTTCCTCCTCCTCAAGCCACTTGCCCTATTTTCCCCTTCCTTCTCACTGTTTTTTGCATCCTGGAAATCATGGTTAAGCAGCAAGCCAACTGGTCTCCGTACGACAACAATGGAGGGTACTCGCTTTCTTCCACTGTGCTTGTGGTGATAAAAGTTGACTTCATATCGTTAATCGTGTTCCTTCTTGTTTTAGATCGTGCGTCGCAATCGCTGGAGCGGATTACTGCGTTGTTGCTGCCGATACGAGGATGTCAACAGGTTACAATATCCTTACCCGGGATTATTCCAAAATATGCCAATTGTAAGTGTGTATACTTGCTTAATGCTTTATGACCTCACTATTCTTTTAATGATCGAAATTTCATTTATGGGATTTCGTTTTGTTGGATGTTGTTGAAAATGGGAATTTATAAATTCCAGTGATCTGGATTACCCTCTTCTATTTGAAGATTAAATTGGACTAAGGGGAGGGAATTTTTGTCCTGTAAAATTTTGAGTGATAGTGGGGGATTCTTTTGTTATGACTTAAATTTACAATTTCAATTGGGCAAATGGTCTGCTTGTGGTTTGGCATACTGGAAATTCCTGCTACTTTGATTCTTCGCGATTCGCTATTTGTTAGCAAAATGCAACTAATCCAAAATCATGTTATTTGATTTACCCTTGTATGATTATAGTTTGCATATGCAATTAATTTTAGGTTAATATTTCATGGATTTCTTTCATATATAAAGATTACAATGTCAAGAACGGTTGAGGAGTTGTTCACTGCTGGAAGTCTGCCCTTTAATATGTTAAACAAGCGTATTATTAATCATTTAAGTTGGAGCCAGCAATAATTTATGTCTTCCTAGCTAAAAGCCTAAAACCTTCTTGGTTTATTTTTTATTTGGATTATATGCACAATAGATAGAAAAGAAATTGGCAAATTGTTAGTCATCTATGATATATTTTGACAGAGAAAGAAATTATTTATGAGCAAAAGAAAGCAAGAAACTGATAATAAATCAAGTAAACACCAAACAAACACCAGCTCAGAAGTGCTATTGTAAATTCCTCGTGTTTTTGGGAGGGTTTATTGGAAATAACTGCACTCTTAGAGGTGCTATTGTAAATTCCCTTAACCCTAGGCCTATAAATAGTGGTACTCATTACTTGTAAGAGTGTCCAGACTTATTCGCCGAAATAAATGAATACAGTCCAAAGGAAAACACTTGTCTTAAAGGAACCCAATTACTTCAACAAGATTTAGACAACAAAAACCTTGGCAGTGTGATTTTGGATCTGTACATTGTAAAGGAATTTCTAGTTATAATCTTGAAGAATTCAAACACCAAATCATTCTGTTTGGCAAAGTAGATAGAGACCAATGCTTAGAACTTTTGAAAATATTGAAACCAGAGCTTCATGCAAAAAATGTTAATTGAAATGGATTGGGAAAAAGAACTTTGAACTCTTAGTTCTTGTAAGTTGGTATTGTTTACTCCATGGGTATGAAGGTGTTTCATGCTCTCTGACATGCTCTATCTAATTTGTTTTCTTTCATTTGACATAACAGAGCTGTCAAAAGTGTGATGGCCTCTTCTGGTTTTCAAGCCGATGTGAAGGCCTTACAAAAGAATTTATCTGCTAAGCACTTGGTGAGTCAAGATGTATAGCTAACTGCTGTTTCACGTGCTAAATTTTTGGAGACATATTGAAAGCCTCTTGTTTCAAAAGCTCAAGTTTCTGTTATGTGATATGTCAACTCGTTGCCCTCAAATGATTTTGACTTTTATTCCTTCTCTGTAACCAACGTGGAAACCAATCATGCTTTAGTCTCCCTCTTTAGAAATTAACTTTCTTTTATCATAAAGGGTTTGAGCACTTTATTATAATCAGGGGTGTTATATCAGGATCCAATCAAAGGAATCCTGCTCAGTGAAGTCAAGATCATTTTTTTTTAAGACCTTCTACATTCTGTTCTCGTGAAAGAATTACTTATAATCTGCGCTGTGTGTAAATATACATCCCCAACTATTAATGAGGTTGCAAGCTGAATTTAGTTATTAGGACATTTCGCTTAAATTGATTTGGTATTACTTATTGATTGTGATGTTTCTCATATTCATTGATCTTATTTCTCGCTTGGGAGCAGATATATCAGCATCAACACAACAAACAAATGAGCTGTCCTGCTATGGCTCAGTTGCTTTCCAACACTCTTTATTATAAGCGCTTCTTTCCTTATTATGCTTTCAATGTTTTGGGTGGTCTTGATAATGAAGGTATTCTCGTCTTGAATCCCTGTCCTTAAATTTATGCCCCTAAATTTATGTGAGAATCACTATATGGTTTCAAGGAAGGAATATAATGACAAAAAAGTCCCACAATGAGTGAGTAGCATGTAATGATAAGTTCCAGTGTAGGAAATGACAAGTCTATGTTGCTTACTTGTTATTGAAACTTTTTGGTGATTATACCTTCCTTAGGACCTTGTAGTAATTCTCCCTAAATTTGTTTCCTGATGGACTGATATACTCTACCCAACCAATAGGAAAGGGATGTGTTTTCACATATGATGCTGTTGGTTCATATGAGAGGGTTGGGTATAGCTCCCAAGGATCTGGTTCCACACTCATTATGCCATTTCTTGACAACCAACTGAAGTCCCCCAGCCCACTCCTATTACCTGCTAAGGTGAAATTCTTATGTTTGTGCTTTTCCTGAAATATTTACTGGCTCAACTTTCTTTATGACGTGGTCTACAATATATTATGATGTAGGATGCTGTTACTCCTCTATCTGAAGTTGAAGCAGTGGAATTGGTCAAAACTGTTTTTGCATCTGCAACTGAGAGAGATATTTACACTGTAAGTTTGTCTTTCAGACATGGTCCCTCCCTCCCTCTATATGTTCACACTTGCTTTCCTAGCTTTCAAGTTTACACTTACAACTAGTCACTATTCTACGCCACTTTAAACTTGTGACTTGTTTATAATGGATGTTTTACAGGGTGATAAACTTGAAATAGTTGTCCTGAATGCCTCTGGTATTCGCCGTGAATACATGGACCTAAGGAGAGATTGATGCTTTGCACAAAGTTTATCGTGCTGTTGTACTGGAAATGTTTCAAATGCTTTGAGGATTGAAAATGTTGTGTGGGCTATTCTTCCTGCGAAGAAAATTCAGAGAACTCTTAAATTTAATTAGCTCCATTTTGTATCCAGATTGTGCTGACTTGAAGCTCATAATGCTATCGAAGTCTTTATGATTAGTTATTTCCACGGGCGTTTAAAATTGGTTGCAAATAAATTAGCTATTCGTCTTGGATCAGTCTCCTCAGCTTATAATTGAAATAAGCAAACTTAGGCTTGTTAGTGAGATGAAAGTTAGGTCATCAAGGAAAAAGCATGAATAACCCTGGACACGATATTTTTTTTTTCCCTAAAATAAAATTTTAAGTCGTTATAGAGTAAAATAACTAACGTGAAATGGTTCTGCCAGTAGATTGCCAGATCTTGGGTGGATATTTGAATTATAAATTTCTGAATTATGTATATGATTTTTAAAAAAATTAAATTTCTCTTTTCATTTTGTCCAGAAAGTGTGAGCGTACATTTGTGTAACATTTTACCACGAACAATATGATTTATTCCATTTAAATATCTCCTTTTATTTTGTCCAGAAAATTTCTTGTAACATTTTTATTCTGAGATTAACAAAAAAGTGCAGCTTGAATGTTGATATTTCCATTTAAATAATTAGGGACTTTTTATATTTTTTTCTCATTATTATATTTTTTACTGGAGCAAGGGTTCTAGCAAAAAAATTAAAAATATTTGTAAATATGCCATTTAGCATCATAATGTTTACTTAGATGCAAAAGATTCTAAAATAGCACAAAAATGATACTGCCATTTATTTAAGCAAGTGTTTATTACTTTTAACTGTGAGTTCCACGTCATTTTAGTTCTTAAATTTAATTAACATTTAAATTAGCGGTTATGACAATTTTTATATCCTTTCAAAATTTTACTGACATGAGGAAAGCACACTAGTATTATATAAGGAAGTCGATACAACTCCTTCTGCCTGTAACTGATGGCAGAGTGGGGTTTATATAGACGCTCGGGGTCACTACATGACAAAGTCCTAATAGTACACCTCATTATGACGGGTAGATGTAATAGTAGACGTCATTATGACATGACATTTAATAATCACAACTACTAACTACCAACTACTCTCATAATGACACCTAATAATGGCAACTACTCCACTTATTACAAGAGGACGAAATAGACTACATGACAAACTACTTTAATAAAGTAAAAGTGGATAACGACATAAAGTAGGATTCTGGCGGGTCCCGCATTATCTTCAGAGTATCCCAAAAGGAGATTTTCTGATAATGATGTTCCCTAGTCTTTATAGATAGGCTCGTGGCTAGGGGATAGGTTCATGATGCCTTCTAGGTCAGGGTCATCTGAGTCATAGTGTCTCCTTGAGTAGTAGTAATCTTCGAGCTCTGGATCAGGGTCGTCTTGGTTAGGATCCTGGGATTCTCCTGCGAGGAATGGGAGTTGTGACTGAAAGCTTGGCTGAGGAAGATAGAGTCCTTCAGGCTGAGTGAGTTGAATTTGTGAGTCGTTGTCACCGTCATAAGGGTCTTCGGCGGCTTCTGTCGGTGGAGGGACTTGTGACCTATTTGGTGGAGGTCTGACAGCACTCAGGATGAAATCTCTCTGGAATTCTTCAAGTGTTGTGTTGCTGGCAGACGGTGAGTTTGGAGGGAAAGGTCCGAGAGAAAGACATGAAGTGTCTTCTCCCGTGTCAGGCTGGTTAAGTGCAGTTAATGTCTTCCCAATTTTTTCCATTAGCAATGCTTCCCTTCTTAGCCATGAGGGGGTGGTGACCTGGAGGATCAGACGGTTGTCTGTGTAGAGCCTCTGGTTAGCACTTATTCCATAGTTCCTGAAAAAGGTATACAGACAGAAAAATCTTTTTTGTTTGGGAGTTGGTAAGTCCCAAATATTATGTTCTTTGAGAATTTTCCAGAGTTTTCCTCTCCAGTAGGGAAGAGGAGCAATCATCTCAAAGAGTGTGGTAAGAGGAGAATTTTCATTCCTGATGTCATTCAGGTGATCATGGACGATTACAGCTGAGAAGGCTATGGCACAGGTATAATTGGCTGAAACAGACCAGATGTACCATAAAAGTTCTTCTGGTATGGGTCCTTTGATGACGGGAACAGTGAGGTAAGGAGCATCGGCATCAAAGTGCTGAGGATAAGGGTGGATTCCAGTATCTACAAAAACACGGTGGAGCCAGTAGAACATAGTACTTCTGGCAAGGTTTTGGACATCTGCTGGAGATTCAGGACGGGATCCAGGAGGGAAAATGGTGGCTCTCATTCTGTGAGGCATTTCTGGTTCAGAGATGGTTAGGATGAAAAGAGGTTGAGGTCTGGAGAGTGACAGGAGTTTTGGAGGCTGGGAAACTTTCTGAGGTCTTGTGAGGAAATCTGCTATGATGTTCTGGTGTCCTTTGAGATGATGAACGGTGAATTTATAGCGAGAGAACCAGTCTTTCCATCGGAGTAACTGGCTGTCTGACAAAGTCTTTCCCTTGGGATCAAGCATTCTTGGAAAAGACGTATTGTCCATTTCTACTCTGAATTGATAAGGACTGAGATGGAAGCTGAACTTCTCGATTCCTCTTTTGACAGCAAGGATCTCCTTGTAGGTAGCATGATAATGCTTTTCTGACTCCTTGAATTGTCCGCTTGCATGTCCACAGTAAAATCTCTTTCCATCTATCTCTTCAATTAGGACAGCTCCCCAAAAGTCATCACTGGCATCAGTCTGGAGAATTCGTAACCCTTTGTCAGGGATCTTTAAAGGAGGTGGTTGCTGTGCAATTCTTTTGAGGGTCTTGACAGCTGAGGTCTGCTCTATCCCCCACGCGGGAGGATTCTTTTTGAGAAGTTTGGACAGCTGGCTGGTATGATTTGACACATGAGGGATAAAATCCCGAAGATAATTAATAATGCCCAGAAATTGTTGGATTTGCTTTGTTGTGAGATTATCGTCTGGGAATTTGAGTAATTCTTCTGCAATGTGTGGTCCGGGATAATACTGACCATTTTCAAAATGCATTCCAAGAAACTCTATGTTGTTGACACCTATTTCACCTTTCTTTGCCGACAACATAATCCCGTATTTTTCAATTATTTCCCCGAACTGGGTTAATAAGAGTTTATGGGAATCCTCATCTTTTGAGAAAAGTAAAAGGTCATCAATGTAAATGAGGAGGTTATCAAGCATAGGTTCAAAGATTCTGGTCATGGCCTTTTGGAACAGTGATGGGGCGACCTTAAGCCCAAATGGCATGACAGTCCATTGGTACTGGGCGTTTGGAATACAGAAAGTAGTTTTGGGTCGATCTTTTGGGTGGATACCCAATTGCCAAAATCCTGCTTTAAGATCAAACTTGGAAAAGATTTTTGCATCTCTAAGATGGACTGTAAGTGAACTGGGCTTTGGTAAAGGGAATTTGTCATCTTGAAGGAAAATATTAAGAGGCTTATAGTCAATGACTAACCTTTTCTTCCCTCTTTTGATTTCTGATCTTTTTTCAACATAGAATGCCTGACAAGCCCAATTAGATTTTGTTGGTTCAATAAGGCCTTGTTTGAGAAGTGCAGCACATTTTTCTTTAGCGAGCTTGAGATCTTCTGGATTCATTCCTAGATGAGAGGCCTTTGTGGGACTGATGTCTTCATTTTTCTTGAAGGGGAGTTTTATAAAAAAACTCTTGATTTTTCCATAATGGAAAAGGATGAGAGAATTGTTGATGACTATCAGCACAAAATTTGAGAAGATGATCTCGAATATCTTCATATCCTGGTGGTGCCTGTTGGATCTCAAAGAGATTAGGAACTTCAGTATATGCACTAAAGAAACTTTTATATCTAATTCCTTTAGGCAAGACTTGAAGATTCCTAGTATGATTATAAGCATCAAATCCAATAAGAATGTCTTTTCCAGGGAGATCACTACCAAGAACTTTCATCCATAGAACACATCCTGGAAAGAATTGGATACCAATCCTCCTGCGAGTTATCCATTCAATCTTGAAGGGCTTTGAATCAGCAGTAAGGAAAAGTTGATCACAAGGGATCCATGCTTCAGGGGGAAGAATATCAGGATTCATGATGGTTCTGCATGCTCCAGTATCAATAAAAGCAATAACAGGAATTGGCTTTTCATATCTTCCTGGAAGAATATGAATCTTGACATTTGGCTTAGGAGTAACTTTGTTGTGATCTGGCTGAGAAGCCAAGGTACCAAGGAAAGAAGACGGATGTACAGGCTGTTCAAGAGAGTATAAATACCCTTGAGGACCATCATCTTCTTGAGAAAAGGATTCAGAATCAGTTTCTTCATCCTCAGAGTAAGGAAGAACATATTGCGTTTCTTCATTCTGAGCATCTTGCTCTTCGATCACAGATTCTATATCTTCATCTTCATTGATCATGAGAACAGTCTGCAAGTGTTCCAGCATTTTGACATCCTTTTTTGTCTTGTTAGGACAATTTTTTGCAAAATGTCCCTTTTTCTTGCATATGTAGCACTTATCAGATTTCTTTAAATAAGGTTTGCGCCCCCTGAAGTATCTTAGGAAGGGCTTTCTGGATCTTCTCCTGGAGTAAGAATTCTTTGGATATCTAAATCGACGATAGTGAGATTTTCTCTTGGTAGAACAAGAACAATCTTTATCATCTTTGCACTTTATTTTCAGATGCGATTTCTTGCAAGCATGCCTGAGCTTTGACTGTCCTTTCAGCATTCCTTTGAAAAACTTCTGTTGTTCACAAAGCTTATCCACAGTTGCTAATGCCAACTGATATATTTCTCCAATAGAAATGTCAGCCATATTTCTATGGAGTGTATTGATAGCTCTATGAAGTTCTGGTAGTAGTTCATCTGGAAGAGAGGCAATAAAAGTATGCCTGAGATTGACATCATTGGCTCCTCCAAGCATGTAGTATTTTTCAGACATTCTCTGGAAATGTTTCTGCAAGTCTCTTTTGTCCAAAGAACAACACTTCATCTCAAAATATTCTTGACGATGCCTTTTGTTAATGATCTGGAAGTCACCAATGAATTCCTTATGAATGAGTCCTAGGAGAGTTCCTGCATTATCAACTCTGGCTGCTGCTATCTTCTGATAATCACTGAGACTTTGATACCATTCTCTTAACGTTCCTGTTAGTCTTGAAAGAAATTCTGTAAGAACTTCCTCAAGAGTTGCATCATGTCTAGCAAGCTGTAGGTCAATCCATGCTCCGAACTCATGGAGTCTGTCTCTCCATTTTTCTGGAGGGAGGTCATCAAAAGTGAACCATGGACCTGTAGTAGGTTTATAGTCTGTTCTTCTTGGTTCAGGTATGTGAGGAATAGATGGTTCCTCATCAATAGGATCTTCAACTGTAGGATCTGGTTGGACCATTGCTACCTTAGAAATATCAGCATGATATGCCTCAGAATCAGAACTGTATTCAATAGAGGAATCAGACTCAGGTTCAGAAGTTCCATCTGTTGATGACTGATCTTTATCCACAGATTGGAAAGTGGCTATGGTTTTGTTTGGATCAGCAACTTCTTTTCCTTTTCTTTATCTGGAAGAGAAGTTTGTTTTGGTGGAGATGATGGTGGAGTTCTTATTACAACTCCTTGAGAGGATGGTGTTGGTTCAATAGGTTTAGTGTATGAGGATGATGGGTAGAAAAGTCTTTCAGATGAAGGGAAATGACGTGGTCGTACTGGAGGTTTGGGAGGAGGGTTTGGCTGGACAGGTGAAAGAGTGGGTTGTCGTGATTTTCTCAACTGTCTTAAAATAGGATAAGACATTTTGAAAACCTTGCTGTAATCAGATTCTCTGGGATAAGAAGGAGGTGATGTTGGATATGTGGGGAGTTGAAAACTAGAGGGGTAAGACGGATAAGGGTCATAGATGGTTTGTGAATGATCTTTAGCGATGTCTGACTCGATTCTTTGTAAATCCTTTCGGATTTGTGACAGTTCTTGCTCTTTCCTAGTAAACTCTGGTCCAATGTATCCTTTTTCGATAAATCTCTTCAGATCTGCATCCAGTTGATAAGCCTGAGAAGTTAGAGTCATATAAAGCTGTTTGACTTGATCAGAGACTTGGTCAAGCCTGCTCGTCAGAGTATCAGTTCTAAGAGTCAGCAGGTCAAGCTTTGAATCAATCTTTGTCAGAGTTCTATTCTGGCCGATCGCATTCTGGGTCTGCCAGTTAAGAACTTCTTCTGCTGCTGAGACTGGTCTAGCTTCACCAGTAGGAGAGATTTCTGTTGGAACAGAGAAAGGTCTTGCTGTAACCTTTGTTTCTCTGTTGGTTCTTCTTTCAAGAGGAGGAAAATCCTGCTCATACGGATCCATCATTGCTATACACGGGATGGATTGTTGGATGACAGGAATCACTGGATCTGGCTTCTGTTTAGGGAGGAGATTTTCGTGACCTGTTTCCTTAAGCAGATCATATAGAGATAATCTGTTAGAAGGAACAGTAGGGACAGGAGCCTTCCAGTTTCTAGCTTTCTGCTTAGGACCATGATCATCATCATCATGGTGATGATGGTAATGGCTGTGGGAACAAGGGGATGTATTCTTCTCCTTTTTCTTCTTTTTTATGGCATATCTGATGGGGTAAGACCATCCAGCTTCATCTTCATCGTCTGATGCTTCCCACCAGTAAGGTGTATCACACTCACAGTCAGGATCACATTCTTCTGGTGCATGATCCCAAATGAAGTGGCCATTTATGTGAGACACATAACATGGCTTGGCATTCTGGTCTACCCAAGCAATTGGAGGGTCTCGCTTAGATGGAAGATAGGCTGGAGTGATGGTCAAAATACGTCCAGAAGGTACAGAAGAACCTTCCTAGCCCGGCTTGGTGAAGACAGTTTTGACTGTGCCATCTGGAAGCCTTTTTATTTCAGGAGGAGTAGAAGTATGGACATCCCTTTGAACACCATGAAAGTGTTTTTCATAGTTGGTGATCCACTCAAGAGGCATCAACTGAGCAAGTTCTTCTTTTGGGATCTGTCGAGGAATCTGGATGATGGAGGTATCATCAGCTCTATCAGAAACCACATAAAGGGCATCTTTAGTGGAATTTGGAAAATGAAGATCAAGAGCATGATTCTGGAGTCTATAAATGACTTGATGATGAAGAGTTGCTGCAATAGCTCTGGGATCTTGTTCTGCTCCAACTATCTGGACTTGGATTTTTAGTCTGTCCGTCAAAGTTGGATCTGAAAGCTTGATGTTGAAGTCTGGAGCCATAGTAAGGATGACACTACCGTTGCTAAGAGTGGTCAGTACAGCACCAATCAAAGCATTACTGTAGGTAGTATAGGTAGTATCGACTAGAGCAACTTTAGCAGACAACTCACAGTTAAAAAAAAAAAACTAATTAGGTGATTGTTCGCTTGGTTTCCAGAAGGTTGGAGCAGAGACCCGGAATATAAAAATGCGTTAATATCCACCATCAGATTGATCCGATGGTTGGAAAAAAAAAAGATGCAAAATATGATTGAGGGAAAATAGATTGGGGATTTAGCTTCCCCGCCTTCAGTGATATCGACGGCGCGCAAAGTTCTCCGTGTCGGCTTCCGTTCGACCGCCACCGACGACTGCTAAGAACTATCGTTCTTGCGGAAGGACAGAACCGTTATCCGCCTCCAAGCCATCCTCGAAGGTGACAAGATACGAAGCATCAGCAAAGGCTAAAGCCACTGACAGCAACTAAAGTAAAGAAACCGTTTTGTTTAAACAATCTGCATGTTCCTTCGCAAGAGAGCGCATGAGGGAAGTGGTGAAGAGAGGACCAGCATTCAAAGTACGGGGATTGAACATTAGAAAGAAAGTACAGGGTTGAGTCAAGCAACTGAAAGGCTTCTCATAGGTATCCTTTTATATTCTGACCTTTTCTTCCCCTCAAATTTGAACTTGCTGGTTTGGTTGAAAACTGAGCTTCATTCGTTATTCGCACGATTCAATTCTGTGAGAATGGGCGAGGTTTTCTTTTCTTCATCTTCATCTTCTTTCCCTTTACGCTGTTTGCTCTGGTAGTTTGTTAACTTCCCGAAATATTTTGTCGAAGCAGTCGCATTCGCCTCGCCCGCAATACCGCGTGAGTGAGTAGAATTTGGATAAACCATGTCTGGCTGATGATTCTGTAAATAGCATTTTGCACATTCCTGATGAATTGTATGTTTGTATCTGTTTAGTTGTTAGTTTGATCGCCAATAATTTAAAATAGCTTCTCTTTTAGAGTTTTAGTTGTGTTCGTATTTATTTCCCTTTAGGAAGTGTTGCTCCTGAATAATGAATGTGTTTTCTATTGTACCTTGAGCTCATATCTTTGGAAGAAGTCTTCCTTTTTAAGCAGTGAGTCCATATTTTTTACATAGCGTACATTTTAACATTCAAGTACCAATTTCGAAACGATCTCGGTTCGAGGTAAAATGTCGTCTTCCTTTCCCCCAGTAATTTTTGTCGAGGTTTGACTGATACGAAAAACTGAAAAAGTATTTAATAAACCTAGTATACTAAAATTATTTATGGTGCAATTTTATTCGTGAAGTATTTAAAATGATACATTCATATCCAATGTTAATAGATCCGTTTTATTTGACCGTGAACTGACGACTCAATTTTGGTTTGACCAAAATAATCCTAGCTGGCATGCGTGACAATCAGCTGATGTGGATATTTAGATTTTTTTTATTTTATGTTTTATCTGAATAGGTTTTCGTTGATAAGCCGCCTCGTTCGGTTCTCAGCTTTCGACGGCTCCAACAATCGTCTCTCCAGTCCAACTCCGGCGTCGTTAGCCAACAGCAGCGGCAACTTGCCAAGATTTAAAGCCATGTCTTTCTGAGGAAATAAGGAACAATACGAATGCCTTTTATTGCCACTTAGGAATAAAGGATTGTCCGTTTTACCTGTTGTGGGGATTGGGTTAGCAAGCGGCCTCGCAAATCTCGTGCTGAGTTTCACCGGAGCTTGTATATGGCTAAAAGTTACGGAAGAGAAGATGGCACTTGAAGAAGGAAAAATCTGTCGGCTTATGCCGGATTATTGACCTTGGTGACAATGGCTTCAGAAGCTCCAAGGTATCTTTAGAAGTGAGGTGGGGGCCATAGCCCTATTTTGCCTTCCTTCAGTTGAGTCATTCATTGAGATTTCATACCTTTCTTTTTTCGATCGTTTTGGGGATACAACAGATTTTTTTCTCCTTCCCTGTTCCACTGTTTCCATACCCTTCCCCATTCCTGACTGGTTCTCTATCATAGTTTCTTTTGATTTTGATTCTGAACAGTGTATAATTGAATTTGAAAGGCATCTTCATCACCCGCACCAGTAAATTGCGCAGCTTTTTAATTTTTTTTTTTTTACTGAATTGCTTTGGTGTAAGTTGTAGGATTGAAATCATTTACTAATGGTGCTGGAAGTAGTACAGGGTGATGTAATTTCCTCAATTTTCGATATCGATGTTTCTCTGGAGGTGTTGGGATCATTCCATGGAGGAGTATAGTAACCAGGTAAGTGAAAGCACAGGTTCAGATAAAACACGCTTTTGAACCACCCAAAAAAAAAAAAAAATCCCAAATAGCCACATCAGCTGCTTATGTAACATGTCAGCTAGGATTATTTTGGTCAAACTAAAGCTGAGTCATCAGTTCACAGTCAAACAAAACGGATTTGTTAGGATTGGATATGGGTGCACCATTTTAAATACTTCAGGGGTAAAATTGCACTATAAATAACTTTAGGACATTGGGTGTATCTAGGAAAATACCTCGGGTGCTGGTACACCTTAACCCTTTTAAATGACTGCGTTGTCTTTTTTTTTTTGGGCAGCTGAGCGCTCAACTCCACTTTTTCATGCCATCATTCTTCTAGGGGCTTGGAGGGTTGCAGTTTGTCTATATCTCTGCGCACTCACTAATCAGGCCATTCATAGGAGGTCCAAGACGATTTAGATCTTTGTGCAATAGAATATTGCTATTCCTCAATAGTTTTGCATCGGCATTCGAATTGAAAATCATCGACTTGATCGGGCTATCTAGGGAGTATTTTGTTTCTTGCTTTGTGGATTCCTTTAAAGAAAAGCAAGCGATCTGTGCCTCGAGGTTTGATTATGGAGGATGAAACAATTATTGCTCACAAACCATCTGCTTCTTCCTCGCTGAACCCTTCTCGGATAATCTGTCATGTGTATGTTCATCCCACTTTTAATCAAGAATTATGCTACCAATTTTTGCTCTGATTTCAGTGGTTATTTCTTTTTATTTTTCTAATCTGTTAAAATAAAATTGAGCTGCCAACAAAAGAATTTACTGATGATATATTTCCATGTCTTCTTAATTTAGTGATTGTATTTAAGCCATAAATTTGACCAGTTGTTAAAGGGAATCGCACGGGTTGCTTCATATCGAGAGAATTTAGTTCTTTTCGTTTTATTTCTTTTCAACTAGACAAGTTGTGGACCACGTGGCTTACCAGTAAATGTATAATTTGATTAAAGGAAAAGTTACAAGCATTCCTGAATCTATGGCTGGACATCTTTCAGCGGAAAAATCTAAATTTTCAGCTTCATATAGTTTAAAATATAACCAAATGTGAAATTTGCAGCCTTTGATTGATTTGCATCTTTGAAGTTCCCTGTCGTGTTGGTATTTGCTGTAAAATTTAATCTTCTTTCTCTTGGGTTTATTTACTGTAAAAGTTAATCTTTTTTCTCTTGGGTGTCTTTTCGAAGGTTTCTTCTTTGTATTTGCGCTGATTAAATCTCTTCCCTTCCTTTTTTTTCCTTTTTAAAATTAAAACAGATGTCAGAAGCAGTTTTCACAGTACACATGCCCTCGATGTAATTCGCGATACTGTTCCCTCCAATGCTACAAAGTAAGCAGAGTTGCTCTAATGCCGATTTTGAGCTGGTTCAATCTTATGCTAATAAATCGTGTCAAAAGATCTTTCAATGGCCCTATATTATTTAACAATTGTGGCCCATCTAGTTATATGGCTTCTCAAGACTTTAGATCCTCCCAAATTTTTTTGCTTGAAAAAATTTTACTGGATGGGGAATAATTATGTTTAAGCTCGTTTGTATATTTGGTTATTCACTTTAATGATTGATAAGGTATAATATGAATTCCTTTATCTTGTTTCATCATTCTATTTCTCCTCTTGCGTTTGCCACATCTTACAATTTAGAAGATAGTGTTGGTTCCACTCTGAATATGTATAAGGTTTCTCTAGCCTGTGCTTGGCAGATGCCTATCTGACTAGATAATCGTTCTGTTGGTGTCACTGTTTGAATATGTGCGTATGTATCTGTTTTTCTGAACTTCTTTTACATTAGTGAATGTCAACAAGTCCTTCTTCTCAGATGAGGCTTTTGCTTTGGCAATTGGCTATTCGTTTAATGTATGCATATAGCATGAAATTTAGTCGATGTCCTTATTCTCCACTTATTCTCTCTCACACACACGCGCACAAAACATATATTCATATATGCTGTGACTTTTAATTATTTGGTTTTTTATAAGATATAATTATTGTGATTAGTGATCCTTAAACTTCCTAATTTGGACAGTCTCACAGTCTCCGTTGTACTGAATCATTCATGCAAGAAAATGTAGTTCAGGAGCTTCAGCAAATGCAGCGTGATGATGAAACCAAACGTAAAATGCTAGACATACTGAAAAGATATCATTCTGAAGAGGAATCTGATAGCATGGATGAGGATTGTAAGCCATCCGTATTTTAACTTCTCTTTCAGTCCTTCTGGGTTTGAAAATGGATGCTATTCACTTCTGATTGACAATTCTTGGTACAGGAAAATATATTTTACCAATTAAGCAAAAAGTATTGATGTTTCCAACTGTTTTATTTCTGTTTTTTTTTTGTTACTTAAATTTTTATAGTATGTAGAGTATTTCTTTAAATGATTGATGCCTATACTGCTTTAGGGTTGCAACTTTGTTGCTGATTGCCATGGTTGCAACTGTTTTGCTGATTGATGCACTGCAGCATTTGACTTCATGTTTGATTTCAGGGTTACTAAGAGCAAGTTGGGCAGTCATTTAATCTAAAAAGTTGTATTACTGTTATTACTTTGTGATTGATTAACTTGAAAATATGTTCTAGCTGTTATATTAGTTTTCTTGAGCTATCCTTAGTGCTAATAAAGAATGCTACTAATTTGAAAATATGTTCTATCTGTTATATTAGTTTTTCTTGAGCTATCCGAAGTGCTAATAAAGAATGCTACTAATATCTGATTGTTTTTTGGCTTTGTTAGGTCCAACTCTGTCCGAGGAGATTGTAGAGAAGGTTTTGTCTGGTACTTTCCATTATATTTCTCTATAGTTGTTGATGTCTCTGTTTGTTCATAAGTTGCTTGTTTATCTCCTTGCTGCTTTGGCATTATACTGCTTGTGGTCTGTCTTTCTTGAAATGCTAATATGTAGTAGGATCATCGAAAGTTTTTACTCTTTACAATTATCTTTTCTAATGCATTCCTCAGTGGGCTAAAGCAGTTATGGTTTCTTTTGTCTTCCACATCTACAGGAGGTGAAGTCAGTTTTGATGATTTATCCGCGGAAGAGAAGAAGCGGTTTCAAAGAGCTATTGCATCAGGGGAATTGAGCAAGATGTTTAAACCTTGGGATCCATGGTGGTTTAAGCTTTCTGCCAGAAACATCTCTTTGAGCAAGGAAGGAGCTCAACTTGTTCAACCCCTTTCAGAGGAGAAGGAAGATGTCCTTGGAAGTAATGAATGCAGCGACATCCCTCCTGGCCCTGAAGCCCCACTTCCTCCAGTTAGCAGTCTTAGTTCAAGAGAGCCATCGCCTCTTTTAACTGTTCACCTGCTTGATATTTTGTATAGCTACTGCTTCACTCTTCGGCTGTACAATGGAGACTGGAGGTCAGATGCTTTAGGGTCAGCAATGGTTGCATTGAGTGTTTCCTCTGTCTTGGGTCAAGGTGAGCAGCCGGGGAGTGTACTTGAAGCTCTCTCTCATTGTTTGGAGCAGGTGTGCTCTCCAGCTTATAGACACATGGGAGGGCTACAATTCGGTTTGAATCTTATTGACGATGTGATAAGTTTACTTTCATTGGGCAGTTCAGCTTTGTTGTGTGCCCTTTCTGATATGAACCGGCTGATTCAGTCAGGGGAAAAGGAGCTCAAATCAAGTAAGCCCAGAAAGCAGAGGAGGGATGAAATTAGAAGTAATCTTAAAATGGCACAAAGGAAAATATATTTCACCATGTGTTGGGTCCATGAGCAGCATGAGGAAGCTTGGTCTTCCTTGGCTGCCATTGTGAGAGCAGAAAAGGCATCAGTCATGGAGTTTGAATGGAGTAACAGTGGGGAAGGATTGAAAAGTAAGGCGAAAACCAAGAGCAAATGTTTGATTGAGGAGTTAAAATGACTGGGTTTGGCAGATTGCCGCCCAATTCCCTTCTCTTTCTTTCCTATTTCCCCGTATTTAGTATTTAGAGGATGCTGGTTATTTTACGCATAACCGTTGTAAATACTTACTTGGAAAAATCATATGAGAGGTACCTATACTTTTTTTTAATTTTTAATTTGGTATTTGTGTTTTTTTCGCTTAATTAATTTGGTACTATTGTTGTTTTCGCTTAATTAAATCATTTAATTTTACCTTTTTAGTAACATTAATTCTTATAACTTTATTCTATTAGCATTTTTAGTTCTTATGCAAGGGTAACAATGTTAATAGAGCAAAATTGAATATTTAAGAAAGAGAAAAAAAATATGGATACCAAATTGAAAATTGAAAAAAAGTATAGGTGTTTCTAATATGGTTTTCCTTTCTTACTTTGCCCGTTGAAATGAGATTTCTTGTATGGGTCTGGGCTGTTCGAGTACTCGGGTGAATTTGGCATTCTTGCGTCTCTTGGAAGACTCATTCAATGGAAGGATGAATCTGGACGTAGCTAAATAGTCATATTAGTTTATGATTGAATGAATGGCAAAAGCTGGAATGACCAATATGGACTACATTGTTTGAAAGTCTCACACACGCAGCGCTTACATGCAAAAAGTAATGAGAAAATTACACACAGATCCTATAAAAGACAATTAATTTTGAAAATATCCTTGAAAATCTCCAAATGCTTCCTAAGTCTCCAGGACCTCGGAGCAAAAAATTAAAATTGTAAAATTACCTACTTGCCCTCACCGAATGACAACATGCACAGTTACAGTCACAACCTATACAACAGCCAATCACAACTTACATTTGAGCCATTCACAACATGCACAAAATCCAATCACAACCCACACTTAACTGAATGACAATATGTACAGTTACAGTCATAACCTACACAACAGCCAATCACAAGCTTTTCCATTAGTGACGGCAAACAGGTAATTTCACAATTTTAATTTTTTGCTCTAAAGTCCTCGGGGACTTAGAAAGTATTTTGTGATTTTGAGAGACTTTTTTAGAATTAATTTTCTTCTGTGGGACCTATGTGTAATTTTTCTAAAAATAATTATTTGGAAGCTTTTTTTCACGATGGAAAAAGAACCCCAAGACTTCTCTTTTCCATGCCATACCTAACTTTATAGGTGCGCCTTCTTCAAATTGAGTCTGGACAAAAACGGAATAGATAAGTAAAGCAATTATCATTATATGATCAAAATTGGTTAAAATTACATTCTAAGTATGCTTAGAAGGCCAACGTTAAAAGGAAATTCATAAACTGTTTTTGTCAAAATCAATCTCTCTCTCCCACACAGGCGCGCGCACACAAAATTAAACTTTTAAGCTATGGAAAAGAACATGGTTTCTAACTTCATCCAGTCATTTTTCTTACTTCTCCTTCCATTCTAATTCTTCTGTAAATTCTTAAAACACGCTTGATTTTAACGTGTGTATGGATAGAAAGTATTCTTCCGGTTTTAAATATAAGACCCATTTTTATAGTATAATTTACACTACAAAGTCGGTCTTCTATTTAGGACCGGAGGGAAAAGAAACTAGAAGAAACGATTTTTAATCAGTAATTTTTCTATAGAGGAGAAGATGAGGGAGGAATTTTAATTATCATTCTAATATTCTCTGTAGTCTTTTGTGTATGTCGGCGAAAGTTCTTTTAAGTAGAAAATTAAAAACAATCTTTTTCTGAATTTTGTAAAATCTACAAGGAAACAGGGGAGAGATTTGTTTAATTTCTTTTGAGATATAAATTAATTGGCTTTGCGAGTTGCAACCCTAATTAAAACAAGATTGAGAACAAACAAAATTAAGGGGAACCAAAAAAAAAAAGAAGAAGAAGCCTGCAAATGAAAATTTGACACAATGGAGTTAGGTAGAATCCAGTTCTCAAGCAACAGGACAATCACATTGCATGCAAATTATAAACATCTTTTTTATGATTAGATGATGTTGACCTAGGATTATGTAAGAGGATTTTGTTGCTTAACAGTAATTTATGATGGGTTTGTATCTTTTTCATTCTTTCCAACCTCAATCTTCCAGTGTCCCCCAATAAGGTTGATTAAGGATTTTGTTATACTAATTTTAGATTAATCATTTATTTGTTGTTTGATTTAAGAATGTCAATTTATAGTTGGAAGGGTGAGACTTTGTTAGCGTAACGACTGTATTTTTATTTGTTGGAGTTGTAATGTCCAAATCCTAATTTCAATTCTTTTCAAAGCCAAGTTCTCGGGTGGCTTTCATTGGTAAAATTTTGTATCAAACACCAGAAATAGGTTCAGAATAGGAGCTTGATTGTTCTGATTTTAAATAACTTTTGTTTTGATTATTCAGTTGATATGACTTATATAAAATTATTAAGAGTAATTTTTAATTTTCATATACCTTATTTTCCCTCACTAAATTGTGGATCTTCCCTCTCAAATCTCCTCAATTTTCTTTTCCTGATTTTATTCAAGAACATGTATTTTGATATCTTGTCTTCCCTCACCCAATTCACCTCTTGACCTTATTTTTATGGTTTGGCTGAAAAAAAAAGGCTTTAAATTTTTTTTAAGGAAGCTTTTCTATATTTATTTGTTTATGTTCTTTTTATATCAATCCAGGCAACAACACTTTTTTGGCGTCTTTCCCTTTATTATAGCTACACACCAAATCAAGCGTGGAATGGAGTAAGAGAAGAGAAACATACAAAACATCACATCTTTCTATAGAAATTGGAAAATACTAAGGATGGATATAGCGGAACCTAAATTAAATTTGAATGGTAGAATTTTTATTTAAAAAAAAAAGAGATTGTTAAACTATAGATTATTTATATCTTTTTTATATTTGCAACTCATTTTTTAGAAAATTTATTTAAAGACCTAACTATCATTAATTTAAGTTTTTAATACTATTTCCGGTCCTTATTATAAGACCTAATTGACTAATTTGGAAAGATTAAGAAAATTAGTTAAGTTAGTTATTTGTTATAAATAAGTGTTATCTTTCTTAAAATACTTTCGTTAATCATGTATATTCTCTAGAGTTACCATTTCATGAAACCTTTTATATGTGCAACCATTTTAAGGACTACTTTGGCAAAAATGAATAAATATGAAAGATAAAGTGGATTAGGGTCTTATATTTAGGACTAAATTAAAAGTTAAACAATCTCTTATAACAAGAAACGGAGCTAGTATTTAAATGTCATTCTCCTTGCATGCACAATCTAGATTAAATGTGCATGACGCGCATCTCTGAATCTAGATGGACTTTCATGAATTGCACAAAATCTAATGAATAAATTAACCCACATTTTTCATAATTTTTATAGAATATTGTTTGCTACATCGGTATAAGATACTACTTCTGATCCTTAATATAAGATTTCGTTTGACTTTTATTTTGGTCTTAATTATAAGATTCCAATCCACTTTGTCTCTCATATTTATATTTTTTTTCTTCAAGGTAGTCCCTCTAATAATGATACTTCTAGCTAGTAAACTTGATTAGCAATGATATTTTAGAAAAAACAACACATATTTATTACAAATAACTAACTTAACTTATTTTCTTAATCTTCTTAAATTAGTCAACTAATTCTTGTAATTAGGACCGGAAGTAGTGTAAAAGTTATATTGTTTGTAAAATCAGACTATTCATGAGTTCTCAATAATGAATTTTATTTTTCAAACTTCACGCAACACATGGATCACACATTAGATTTCTTCTCTTTCCCCCCACATTTAATACTCCCATTAAAAGATGGGTATCTTAAGAAAAAAAAAATGCCATGTAATTTTTATATATTAATGAAAAATAATTAACTTAAATAATTTTATTAATCTCAGTAAATTAGCTTAATAGATTTTATATTTAGCACATGAGAGATTAATTCGATTGTAATTATTACGAAGTAATTAAAACAGTAACTTTCCTAAAATATAGAAGTCTTGTAAAACACAATAGTAACTGTGATCCTTAAAAATTATAATTTTAAGATCTTTTTCAATTAAAGTTTTCAAGATCTGGGTCACTAGGTGTAATTCTTCCTCATGAAAGCCCCCCAAATTGCATGTTTTCCTCCTGCCGGCCACCAGCATGTCCTACCTATTATGGAAAGAATGATGACAGGTGTATAATTGCATAGCCTCTACTTCATAATTATGATAAGTGAGAGACAGAGAGAGAGAGAGAGAGAGAGAGAGAGAGAGAGAGGTCAAGATGTTAGCCTTCTAACTTATGCCTCAACCTCCATTATACTTTATCATTACATTATTATATTATCATTCATAAAAACAACAAAATCACACTATGCTTTAACTTCACTCCTACTCCAATATCCCATAAAACCTCCCTCCCTCCTTAAACCCTTCTGTGCATTTTCCTTTATCATTCTGTTTTTGTCCTGCAAACAAGCTTCTCTCATTCTCTTCCCCATAATGAAACCTCCAAGAGGAACACTGTCTTTGCCCATCATTTTTGCAGCAGCATGTGTTCTTGTCTTCATAGCCATTTTCTATGCAGAGGGATTCAGGTCTTTCTCTTCCAGTTCCTTCTTCAAGTTCAAATGCTGTCATAAAAGGAAAGCCACCCCAAAATCTAGTAAGTTGCGGGGCTTTTATATCATCATCCTGTTCTCAGAGAAGACACCTGAAAATGTTTATTTTTGTAAAGAGAGATTCTTGATACTTACTCACGGGTATTTACTGAAATTGGTGATTGTGCAACAGATGATAAGAAAGCAGAGGAGGAGGTCGGGTATTCCTCGTTTACAGATGATAGATTCGAGTTTGATGCAGAAGAATGCAATGTTGCCAATGGGAAATGGGTATTTAACAGATCAATAAAGCCTTTATACACAGACAGAAGCTGCCCATATGTAGATATGCAATTCTCTTGTACAAAGAATGGAAGGAAGGATTCTCGATATCTCCACTGGGAGTGGCAGCCAGAGGATTGTACCATACCTAGGTGATCATCTCTCTCTCTCTCTCACACACACACACACACACACTATAATCATCCGAACATGCAAGTGAGTGTACAACACTTTATTTCTTAAGTGAATCTTTTTGTGTCTGCCTTCTTGAACTCCAAGCTTGACAAGCTTCAGGTTCTAATGTGATCCACATTCTGATATGACTATACTTGGTAGATTCGATCCAAAGCTAGCCCTCAAGAAACTTCGGGGAAAGAGGCTACTATTTGTAGGGGATTCACTGCAGAGAAATCAATTTGAATCTTTTGTGTGTATGGTCGAATGGATCATTCCTGATAATCAGAAATCTATGAACGAGGACCGTAACCATCCAGTCTTCACAGCCAAGGTAGCATACAATGTATTGAACTGTAGATTTACAAAGACGAGATATTGGTGATGCTTATCAATATACTGAATTTACTTGATCCTTTGTGCCTGATATACAGGAATATAATACTACTATTGAGTTCTACTGGGCCCCGTATCTTGTGAATTCCAACACAGATATCCAGATAATTGGTGATCCAAAGAAAAGGATAATAAAAGTAGATTCAATCACAGAGCGTGCCAAAAACTGGACAGGAGTGGATATCCTGGTTTTCAACACCTATGTTTGGTGGATGAGCGGCGTCAGGATTAAGTCTCTGTAAGTTTTATTTCAGCATTTGATGTGTCAACCAAAAGGGACAAAATAGGGTCTCATATATATTTACATTTGTAGATGGGGCTCATTTGCCAACGGAGAAGAAGGGTATGAAGAATTGGATGCGCCAGTGGCTTACAAGTTTGCTTTAAAGACATGGGCTAATTGGGTGGACTCTACTATTGATCCAAACAGAACCAGGGTCTTCTTTACAACAATGTCCCCTACACACACAAGGTTTCTTCTCAGTTTCTCTCTCGAAAAAAAGAAAAAACTACAGCTTACTTTCTCTAACAATTTATCTCATTTTAAGTCAAATAGCTCTGAGACAATGCTTCAACACCTAACGTGGAGAAACTTACAGTTACAATAACATTAACTTCATGTTTCACTAACAAGGTGACTTAGTTGACAAATAGTTGGGTTTCTTAAACATGTTGTTGGGAGTTTAATCCTTGACTATTTGTATGAAAAAGACCTTGTTAAGAGAGATAAAACTCATTTATGTGATTTCTGTGCCAGAAATGGATTAATTTTTGACTATCAGTTGAGAATACCCTTAATACCAAAAAAAAAAAAATCACTTATTTAATTTTTAGCTCAATTCTTAGGATTGTATATTGTCTGTGTCAGTGTAAAACATTACTTATAACTCAAGCAAATGAAATCAATCTTTTGGAATAGATCTAGCTCCAATTAGGTATAAATAATAAGTGTATCCTAAATTTTAGGCCAATTTGCCTATGTTTTGGGCCCTCGAGTCAGTTAGACTTGTGCAAGATTTCAAGCCTGCATAGTTCTGAGACAATTCTTCAAATACCTAAAAGTGCAGTGGCTACTGCCCTAGAAGCTCTTGATTCTAACAATATGATAACACAGATGTGCGTGCCTTTTGTTTACAGAAGTCAAGACTGGGGCAGGAAGGAAGGATTAAGATGCTTTAACGAAACAAAACCAGTAAGGAAGAAGAACCATTGGGGAACTGGTTCTGATAAGACCATGATGAGTGTGGTAGCCAAAGTGTTGAAGAAGATGAAAGTTCCCGTACAAATCATCAACATCACACAGATATCAGAGTACAGGATTGATGCTCACTCCTCAGTTTACACCGAAAATGGAGGAAAACTATTGACAGAAGAGGAAAGACTTGAGCCTAGCAATGCTGATTGCATACACTGGTGTTTGCCTGGGGTCCCAGATACTTGGAATCAAATATTTTTGGCAATGTTGTAACAAATATTAGCATATAGTAAATAAGATCTTTATCTCTCTCTCTCTCACTAATACCCATTTGATAATCTGCGTAAGGACAACCGTATCTGTAAATAATACCATTTTCAGATAGAAATTTATCAAAATATTTGAAATCACCACCGCCATCAGTTTGAATAGATTTAATTTTAGTGTTTAATTGATTTTTAGTCGTGGCTTTAAACTGAAGAAATACTGGAAAGGCATTTTGCTTACGTTTGAGTGAATATAACCAACAAATGCCATGTTTGGATTAGCAGTGGCAAAACTCACTTTTATTCCAACTGACTTTTGTAAATTTAAATTAGAATAAAAGTCAGTTAGTGGTGTGATTTATGTTTAGATTGGTATTTATACAAAAATTAGTTGAAAAAGTTAAAACTCATTTGGATGATTAATAAAAAGGTAACTTTAGATGTAAAACGATAAAAAAGGACATGAATTTTATTGAGGAGTAGTATTTTATATTATATGATATTAATATGATAATTTATTTAGTTTGTTTGATCTCTTTAAATTAGTCTATGGGGGTCTTATATTAAAGAGCAGAAATAGTGTATCATATGTATAGAATTTGATAAATTCAAGAAAAATAATACATTAAAACAATTAAATTTTATTAGGTAATTTTTTATCCTTAAAAAAAAATCAAATTATTGAGTCCAGATTGGACCTATTTAAATACTCTTATTTTTCTTCTCATTCTTGTTATTTTCTCTTTCCTCGTTGCCAACCAAAAAAGCTCAAATTTCAAGTTTGTTTGTAATTGACTTTTTCTCGAAAAGCTCATTTGAGAAAAAGCTTATCCAAACAAGCATCATTGTAAAAATAAGCCACCAATGCTAATTGCATATTGTTCCATGAACATTTGGACTTGCAAACGGTATTTCAAATACACGCAAAATCTTGAAAAATGATCCGTAAAGGCAATGTAATATAGTTTTCCATGAACTGAAAGAGAAGGCGCAGGCCCCAAAGACCAATTGACACTAATTCAAGTAGAATGTCGTAAAAAGTAGTAGAGAGTGGTGAATTCAGTTTGTGTGCTTTGCCCATGCAAAATGCTAAGCAAAAAGTATTACTGCCTTTATTTGAAAAAGCAAGATTACAACCTTTTAAAAGTAAAGGGAGCATAGCAAAGGGAAAGTGAAAGTGATACATGTGGTGCAACAAAGACAGATTTAAAGTTCCAGAAGACTGAGAGATGTGTGATGATAAAGAACTGGCTTGCAAGTGAGTCAACCATAAAGATGTTGAGGTTGAAGGAGAGAAGAATAAGCTGGGATGTCAAGGGTAGAGACCATATATCTACACTCGGTAGCAAAACATGTTTGGGATCCTGTTCATATTTTAAACAAAACAAATATGAATGAAACACAAATACTACCTCCGGTCCTTAATATAAGAATCTGTTTGACTTTTATTTTGGTCCTAAATATAAGACCCTAATCTATTTTGTTTTTCATATTTATATTTTTTTTTCCAAAGTAGTCCTTCTAACAATGATAATTCTAATCAATACACTTAACTAGCAAGAATATTTTAAGAAAGACAACATCTGTTTAGGACAAATAACTAACTCAACTTACTTCCTTAATCTCCTCAAATTAGTCAACTGGCTCTTACAATTAGGACCGGAGGTAGTATGAAATTATTATCAAGAGTGATTTTAAGAACACTAATAAGTAAATTATTAGCAACATAGGCATGTAAGATATCTTTTAAAGTTAAAGAGCCAATTGGTTGAAGAGTAGAGAGATAAGTGTAACCTCTTGCATGATATTAGACGTATGCGGATTGGTATGATGAATAGTGCCAGAATAAGGAATGAGAGCATTGGAAGAAGAAGCATTAGTAAAACAGTCAAGTGAGTCACATGACCAGACTTCAAGCGAAGTTGACAAATTATGGTTGGTTGGTTGGTTATGGCCTCTACTCCATGACCGACTGCAAGTCCAAGGCCCTCTACCACTGTGGAGGGAGCCAAAGAATGAGAAATGAGCCTGAGAGGATTGATTTGTTGATAGCATTGATGCCTGAGAGACATTTGCAAGCTTCAACTCACGAGAGATCAAAAGAATCCAATCTCACTTGAAGAAAAAGGATCTTGTTGGGAATCAACAGACGAAATAATTGAATCATATTCAAGGGGAGCCCGTTTAAAATAATCTCAACTTGATCTTTTTTAACTAACTCAGAAGCCAATTGAAATAAGAGTGTCAGCTAACGATTTTACTCCAAGAATGAACTCAAATATGGTAAGATTTTCCTTCTTAGTATTTTGAGATTGATATGATATAAATAATTAAGAAAGGGTACATTGTTTATTGGGGCATTATGCTTACCCCTATTTGTCATTTCCACTATTTGATCGTTTAGTATTTTAATCGAGTGTATGCACCGCTAATGATTAGGACATAATGATATTTTGAAATCTTCCTATTTCTTGAATTTTTCTCTAGTCCCTTCTTTCTAGCTTGACTGTATCGCTAGTATCAGAGCAGCCGTGATTCTGAGAATGGTAGACTGTACAAGGTCTTAGTTGCAGCTTAAGGAGGTAGAAGACAGGCTCCATTCAGATATTGATTGTTGATTTAGTTAACTAAAGTCCCTCTAGAGTTTCCGTGACCAACTCACTGGCATGCTGAGAATCTATAAAACCAAAGTAGTTATGGCAAAAACGATCATCGTAACAGAGGTTATCATGCATCGACGAGGTACACTAAACTGAATGCAAGCACTATTCTATTTTGGATAAAAAGCCGGATGCCCCAAAAGCCTTGTTAGCAAGCATAACACTAGATGGCGGTACCTATCACTGGTTCCAACACTTCAAGAAAGAGATGGGGGAGAGCGAAAATTTCAGAAAAAGATTTAGAATACCATTATGGCTTAATTATTAGCCATGCATACATTCAATTAAAATACTCATGTAGAAATGACGAAATAATGGAAGTGACAAGGAGGGGTAAGCATAATACCCCAAATGACCAATGTACTCTTTCCTAATTATTTATATCATATCAAGTTGTTTTTTATACTAATAGATCCGTGCACAAATATTTGCATGAAAGAACTTGTGGATGCATTTCCAAGTAGCACTAGAGGTTGAGTTGCCAACCATTTGAGGAAGCATTGAGTCCAAAATGGCAGATTGGAGCCATGAAAGAATCAATTGATTTTGCATGTACTAGAGTGTATACTCAGGTGAAATAACTCTTGGAGCAAGATCTTCAGAGGTCTTGAATCACGCCGGAGATTTGGTCTCAAGAAAATGGAATAGGCCGCAACCTCTAACAGCAGATTCTATTTCCTGTTTCTAGATGGGGAAATTATGATCATCAAGTTTGGAAGAAATTGGATGATTGAAAGAAACGAGATTGCCATTCTTTTCGCTTTCAAGAACTAAAAATTTGTAGGGGGATTAAGGGGGAATGGGAGCATAGCCATAGGTAGACGTACTAAAGTTGTGATAGCATGCGAGGTTTTAGAGGTTTTAGAGAAATGAGAGGGAGAAACGGAGAACTGAGTATTTTATATGCAATATCTTAATGTAAATGACTCATCAAGGCTAAACTAAACGAACCGAATGCTAACGGAACAATTGCTCTCCACTAATTATTGACAACTCATTAGTAACGGATTCAGTTTCTATACTCATCATGTGATGCTCATCATTTTGAACGGCAATAGCATCACTAATTTGAAGCAAGAAGCCTTAATTCAATGAAATGCATGGTTGTTTTAAAACTAGTTTTTTTTTTTTTTTACCCCAATCTTTAAACACTTTCACAAGTTCTGTTGCCCCTTTCTCTTTAGCCTTTACCTTCTCCACTCTCGTTTAAGCAAGGTACTCCTTTGGTCCTTAATATAGGACCAAATAAATTAATTTAAGTAGATTAATGATATTAGTTAAATTAGTTAACTTGATATGTTTTTTTTTCCCTTAAAATACCCTAAAAATATTCATTAATTATTCCTTTTCTATTTGATTATTATTGGGGGAATATCAATAAGGTTAAGTTGAAAAAAAAATTAATAAACATATGAAATAAGTTTTACATATATAACTAACATCAACTCTCCAACTCTTACATATATAGGAGCTTTCTACGCCATGCTAGTCGAATTACACTGGCCAAATCAGTCTTAGCTTCCATACCTTTTTACACCATGCAAAGAACTTTGCTCCCTACTACGTGTTGCCGTGATATTGAGAAAATTATTAGAAAGTTCATATGGAGTTATTCATATGATCATCGAGGAATTAGCCTAGTTAAATGGAGTGAGCTTTGCCAAACGTTAAAAAGTGGTCGTGGGTTGCTGAATCTTGAATCCCAGAACAATGCTTTCCCGTCTAAGCTCATTCACAATACTCTTCCAGTCATTAATATATTGAGAGTTGATATTGATTGTAAGACCTATTTCATGTCTCGGTCATGGTTCTCTTATTTTTGGCGAAATCTGTCCAAACTTCGGCAGATACTTATTTTCACATTAAATGGAATCCGGCTGATGATACAAAAATTAAATTCTGGTCAAACTACTGGATTAATGATTATGGCCCTTTGAAGCACATTTCTTCTGCTGCTCCTATCAGTGACGTTGTTCTCTCTAAGACAACATCAGACTACGTCGATGAAAATGGTTGCTGGAATTGGAACTTATGTCACCATCTTCTACCTTAGAATATTTTGCAGGAGATATCTGAAGCTACTTTGGATAGAAATCCAAAGGAACCTTTGTGCTCTTGGAACCTAACATCAACGGGAAAATTCACAATTAGATCAGCTTATCGAGCATTAGAAGCCCCAAAATGGAACAATGCAAAACATATTTGGACACAATTATGGAAGCTTCCTATGCCTTAATGTGTTCACAACAGAAGACACTGATCACGTCTTTAAAGACCTTGCCCCATGATCTGCGAATTGACTTCTTTGGTCACAACTTAGTGTCTTGGATGGAGAAGATGCTGCTCAACTCAAAACTGGACATCTCTTTTTTTTTTGGCCAAAAAAGTTATTTTATTAATATCAAAAAAATCAATACAAACACTAATAGCCAAGAGGCCAAAGAAACGCTCAAAAAAACCTATCAGTACAAACTAACTCACACC